CTACTACTGTGGCCACATTGCACTGTTTATTGTCACCTTTTGCATTAAAACAAAATGATAAAAGAAGACCCATCAGACGTGTGGTGAGTTTAASCACAGAGCAAATGAAAGAGAGCATTTGTTTAATACTACAATTAATTAAATCCATTCTCAAAATGAGTAATGGCAAATGAAAGATGATTTGCACACGCTTATCTCTTTGGGTTTATAGTTTGTGGATTCCTCTCCCTCTCTCCCTCCCATCACCAGCACTATAGATACCAGAAGTGCCTCTTTCATGCACCAGATTGTAATACACTGTGCGCAAAATGCTTAGTCCTAATTTATTCCTGTTGTGGAAAATAACTGTGAGGTGAAGATCTCAATATGATCAGCAAAAATATTTTTAATTTGATAAGCTACTAAAGATTTTAATTATGCTGGTAATAGAGAACATTGGCCTAATGAGGCGGAGGACTCTAGAGAGACACAGAGGCTAAGAACTGTGAAATGAGTCTGATAGGATTGCTGTAAATTCACACTAGATCGTTTGCATATCAAAGAGCAGGAAATGATTGCAGGACAAATCAATAACCTTTCCACGTTCCAAGGAGCGTCTTTCCTCATTCGGATGTCTCAACACACTCTCTCTGTACTGTCTGGCTGAATTCGCTCTTATTYTCGTCAATGCCTTGATGTGCTCTAATCAAAGTGCACGTCCATGACAGGCTAAACATGCTTAATATTGTGGGTCTGTGTTGCAGCATGCTAATCCAATCCTTATTGATTTCTTGCTGCTTAAAAAATAAAGCTTTTATTGTTTTGGGGGCGTTGTATATATATTTTTTGTCAGATGGTTTAGAAAGGGAAGGTCAATGCAGATATGAGTGTCCAGCACTCTGACAGCGGGAACAATCGTTTTCCCCCCACTTGGTGCTCAGTGACAGTGGGTGAAGTATTTTTAGCCAGTTTGCTTGACAGGGCAGCCCACACTGGCTCAATTACCCAGCAGTCCAGGTGACCCCAACCCCACTGTTTGCTCAGATGAAACCAAGGTGGATTGACTGGTGTGATGAGAGAAGTAACGGAGTGAGACCAGCATGTCTTTCTCTCGATCTCCTYGAATTTTATTGCCTTTTGTTTGCACCTCTCCTCTCAGTGCACCAATCTAACCCCCTAACCTCTTCAAACGCAGCTACAGCTATGGCTCATGATTCCTCATAAATGACAATAAAATATCATTACACAAATGTCTCACAGGGTATTATGTCTTGTGCCTGAAAAAAATGCACTGAGTTTCTTTCCATCTGATTACTCTGGGACACATAATAACATTGATCTGTAAATTCTTTTTCTTAGGTGGTCAGTTTGTCCATCCTTTAAATGCCAGATTGGTTTATCTTTCCAGTTTCCATTTTTCAACACAACTATTCCTCTCATTATGGCCGGGAAATACGGACAAGCACTTTAAAAAATGTATGTTGTTGGGACACTTGATTGATCACCGTCCCCACAACTCAATTTTAACTCTGCAGGTAGCTCTGGCACTGAGACAGGCCGAGCTCTTCAACCTTTTCCTGTCCTTGTCCCTGTGTACCCAGGTGACCATGTTCAAGCAAGCAGAAAGTTGATTTAAGGTTCATAATGACATCAGTTGCAGGCTATCATCCCCCCAAATAAAAAATGGTCCCCAGTGCTCTGGGCTCTTTAAACCGCACTGTTACTTTTCACGCACAGTGTCGGTGCCATGGAGGGGGGCGTGGAGGACAGTGACATCGCTATTAGTTTATTGTTCCATCAGACTGGGACCTTTACTGCACCCCTGTTTATGTTGCCGTAATCACTGGCCTGCTGATACCCACCCCTTAGGTCTGAAATATGTCCTGTCGAAATGCTGCAGGAACTATTACCAGCAGCCCACTGCTGGATGTATCAATCACTGACAGGTCAGCCGCCTTACCTACCGCTGTCCCTGATGTGCTGCTGCTCTGTGAGCACTTCATGGCTCGCCACATTCTTTGCTTTCATATTACCGACAAATTTGTCTTGTCACTGTCCCACTGGCCTCTCTCGGACAGYTTAAATGATGTTGTACAGCTAGAGGAACTCGCTCTCTTGCCAAGTAACCTTTGAGGGTGAGGGTGCATTTAAGTCAGGAAGTGCTCCAACGCTGGGCACGTCTGTGTCACGTGCAAACCTACACGCATGTAAAACCGATGCAATGTAAGCCTGAGCATCTCACTCGTCAGGTCAAAAGGACAGGCTTTTTGTGAGGTGGGTAGGGGTGGGTTGCTTGAATCAAATTCATATTTATGAGAGCTGCATCCTCCCCAAACACATTGTTGTAATTTACAGCAGATATCGTCTGGCTGCTTCGAAGCCTCTGAACATTAATGTCAAAAAAATTTACAACAAGAAAGACAAATTATGTGCTGGGTAGTGTGAGCAATTGTTTTTCACTCATAACTGCTATCGACAAGTTTCTACTTAATTAGTGCTATCAGTGTTTTGGAAAAGCTAATTTAAATGCATTCCTTCAGTCCATCGCTTTGGCAGAACAATTACTGTAATTTGTCTTAGTCAAAAAAAGCAACAAAGCAAAAGGCTGGTATAAAACTCTGTTGTAAACAGCATAGCAGCACCAAAAAGCACACTTAATTCGGTAATTACTTTGTTACAGAGACCTGTTATTTGAAAACCTTTTGTGGCTTTCATTTTCTCAGTCCATAAAAAAATTGGACACAGCTGATTGCGTGCATTAACAGTGGCCTTTTCCAATAATTATACTGATATCTACATTTTTAAATGAAAGAAATAAAATCATCAGCTAAAAAGTCATGGCAATTTACTGGCCCCCAAGTTTGAAACCATAATCACTGAGACGCCAGCAGAGCAGATCAACTCATCACTTCCGATGCAGCGCTAACAGCTAGCTGAATATTGCAGATTAGATCTGAGCACCATAGGCCCRACCTGCTGGTGCATGAAAGAGTTTAGTGATGTGGAAAACAGAAAGGTCATCAATAACTTCAAACAGTCAAGCAGAAAATGTGTAGAATAAGAGGACAAAACCAGGGGCCTGGAGCACTAACCTAAGTGTTGTAACAGCTGTCGAGACACACTGTTAACTGTCAGCTGGCTATAAGAGCAAAMCCACCAGGTTTTACATGTTAAAACCAACTGAAACAAAACAGTTTGTAGGAAAATTTGCTGCTTTATATTCATATTTATGCAAACATGACTGTTGAGAAACGATCAGCTCAGTCACACCTCACTTGTAGAATTAACTATGATGCACTGTTAAAACACACCCAAGATTTAGAAGTGTTTATTTTGATTTTGTAACAGTTGATTTGCTCTCTTTAAAGTCTCAGCCTTTCATTTTAGCTGTTTAGCGTGTGGACAAATTAGCCCTGCAGTTGTGCCATTTAAAAGCTGCTGCAGAAGTGAAGGAAAAGTATCAGAAGATGAGATGTCTCAGAGGTATTTGATACTAATCCTGAATAAACAGGATGTTCTGAGCCTGTTGTGAAATCTAGCAAAAGTACCTGGCCTTATCGCTCGCATGAAGCTTTACTCATGGGGTGTGTGAGTGTTTGCCAGATATCGCACACACTGCAACTCAGCAAAGCACACTCACAACAACAGCACAGCCCCACGCCTGCGCCCATGGCAATCGTCTGTGAGCGGATGACTGATTCCATAGCCAGTCCAAACAATAACACCACTGTACAAACCCTGTTTGTGTTTGCCTATTAAGCACACCCCCCACCACCACCAACCCTTCCTGTTTTTATCTTGTTATTTCAAAACTGTTTGTTTTAGCTGGAGAGTGAAGTCAGTGTGATGCTCTTAAACCCTTATGACGGCTGCTTTTGTCACAAGGAGGGCACTCCTTTACAAAACATTAGAGGGTAAATAAGAAATAAACTTCTTGGTCAAACAGCACTGACTGCCTATCAAGTAACAGGCGGTTTCACAGTGATAACAAGCGGTTTATGAACAATAGATACAGGCTTCTTCAAGGCTGAAGAAAAATACAATTGTGATGCCATTGAGATGAAGGACTAAAGGTGTGTTACAAACTCTCCGGTGATATTAAACAATTGTAAACTACCAAAAGGAAAGAGTAGAGGTGATGTAAGCAGATGAAGCCTCAAAAACTGAAGGTATAAGATTTAGTCAAATATTTACAACAATTATTCAATTGAGTAAACCTGCTAACTGCTAACTCAAGATTTGCTGAAGGCGGTTCCTGCATCAGTGAAACCATGAACAGTATGTGGCCACACATAAGTCACACATTGTTCTCTTTTGTTGAGCAAATTTGCACAGGAATTGTAGAAAGGAAATAACAGTGGCACGTAAACCACCTACAGGTCACAGGGTTTASAAAGAATCCTGTTAAAAATATTTCTAAAACAATGTCAAAACACACAGAAGGGCACACACTGACTTATTTCAGTTTTGGGATTTTAAATATGCCATATGATGTTTGTATTTTTGGACTTTAGCTTTTAATTTAAAAAAAAACTGTTCAGGTAGTGATTGCCATGATTAATGGAGGAGCCTGTATGTACAATATTTTAGGTTGTCTTTAGGGATGCATGATGTATCAGCATTAACATCGGTATCAGCMAATATTGGTCATTTTTTAGAATATCTGTATCGGCCCAATAAGTAAAACCGAGCCCATATTAATGTCTGATCTTGATTTCACACTTTATAGCCAGGAGTAACTGAAGTAGAGCCATGTCAGAGGTCTGGATGTTTTTTACAGTATCAAAAAAGTGCATTTGTGCGTACGTGTGTATATAAATAATTTGTGTGTTTGTGTAATATCAGTAAATATATGTTATCGGCCATAACACCAAGAATAATATTGGATATCGATATCAGCTGAAATTTTCATATCAGTGCATCCCTAGTCTTCTATCCCCAAACTTTGATTTTAGTACTCAAAATCAGGCCTGATTTCTTTATAAACAAACTCTGTCACCCATTTCTCTGAATAAAAAGACCCATGTTGTGATTTGACAGTTTTTGCTGCTATGTTTTCTTCTTACGGCGTTACACTTCTCTGGTGAAAGTGTAGCTGTGCGGTGTGGGGTACTGACCCTGAGTGAGCGAGTGCAGCGGCAGGCTGGTCTGTCCTGGCTGGATGGTGAGGAGCCCTTGCCTCTGAAGGTTGAGCAGGTGTTGCTGCTGGGCCTGCTGGACCTGCAGGAGCTGCTGCTGGAAAGCCAACTGCTGGGCTGAAACCTGCTGCGGGTAAACACACACACAGAAGGACACTGGAAGTGAACAAAACATCTCGTATGTATCAGCACACAAACATAAACCAGGCTCTTGTACACACACAATATTTGGGAGTAGAAAACTGCTTCAAGTTCGAAACTGTCAAGTTTAAATTTAAGTTTGTGCAAAAAATACTTGAAAAGTGCAATTATGATTCATAAAAATCAAGATTACAGTGTTTTTGAATGTACCAGCACAAACGAGAACAGTGCTACTTTCATAAATGTTGCCTTAAAAGTGGGTTTGTCTGGGTTTCACCTAAGACAGGTATACCATAMGTCTCCCTCCCTCTTAATTAACACCAGTCGGGAGGCGAATGACAAACAACGAAACAACATAGTTAATCATTCATAATAAGAGCCACATGAATTTAATTACAGCCATTCATAATTCAGCAAACAACGTGTGACTAAATCAAAGTGCTTAATAACCACCCTAGAAAGTCCCAACTGTCCCAGGCATGGCGCTGAGCGCAGGGATGCTCGCTCTCCCCAGCCAGCGCAGCGAGCTGTGTTCAATCACACACCGTAGACTGACAGAGAGATGGCTGTTTTCTTCAGCTCGCTGTGCTACAGCTGCTTCGCCGAGAAAACATTTAATGAAATTCTACTGTGTCATCTCCGCCTTTGGGGTTGTGGGGGTGTTCTGGCTCAAAAACGTGAAACGTGTGAACTTTGTTGGGATGAAAAAGTGRTATGAAAGCAGAGAGGAAGGGTGGGGGAGAAAAAAGCAAGGTGGAATAATAAATAGAAGGAAATCGTTTAATATCCTCAATCTCTTATTAGTCAAAACAAACGAGAGATTTTATTTAGATAGCAGGGGCACAGAGAGGTGAGGTGACTTTTAACCGTTTCATCAATCCTAAAGTGTCTGCTATATCGATTAAATGAGCTGAAAACCCTTCGGTGTTTTCTGRCAGATAAGGGCAAAATAATCCTGCCTGAGACTCAACAGGATACTAGGTCTGTTTATGAGTACACAAGGCCAGTTGTCGAGCCAGAGGGAGGAGAGGATGGGGCACTAAAAGCATTGCTGGGCTGCCAAGCTGTGCACCGCACCCTTTTACCAAACACAGGATACACCACTTTGTTTACTTCTCACAATTGAGTGCATACAAAAGAGGTCTCTGTGCAGCGTGGCAGTCAGGTCACTTGCTGGCGGCCGTGAAGTCACTGAAACAGCCAGATAAAATGGGTCCCCTCCGCCCACCCCTGTTCGGCATGTCAAAAGGGTCCAGCAGCGCTCCTTTCCCTTCCTCTACCTCCCTCCCGCCACGCAGTGAGCTCACCGCTCCCGCGATGGCCGACTAAAAATAAAACTCCCGGCCAGCGCTGGTCTATTAAAGCAAGCGGGCTCATCTCATTGGATCAATCAGGAGAAGGAGGCTCTCTGACAGCAGAGGGTCAGAGCTGAAGAGTATTCATTCTTGGACTCGTGTGTGTGTGTGTGTGTGTGTGTGTGTGTGTGTGTGTGTGTGTGTGTGTGTGTGTGTG